TTGCGGTCCCTGGGACTCTTTGCTTCCAGGCCTTTTGGGCGATGAAAACACAGAGACACACATACCTTTATACACAGACACACATATATTATATTATGTTTAGGTTTCATCCCCTGAAAGCTTCAATTTCTTATCTTCCCCCTAGCATTCTTTCCTGCCTTAATCTCTTCTTCTTCAGTGAGAACCTTGCCCTCCTTCCTTGCTCAGTCTTGTGTCAGAAATAGCTTCAGAATTCTTTTTGCCTGTAACATTGCAAAAAGCAGACAAATCTGCTAAACAGGTTTGGTATTTATTTTTTTTAAATTGTACACACTCTTCTTGCCCAAGAGGGAGTGTTTGCAGTCCCACTGCAGATTCCCAAGTGACTTGGTGACCTGGTCTGTCTTTCCCTATCCAGTCTTTCCAAGGCTGGCTCATGGAACATGCAACAGAAGTAATGTGCTTCATTTCTTTTTTTTTTTTTTTTTTTTTTTTTTGATGTTCCCCTAATTCCCACCCCTGTTGATTTTCAGCTCTATCAAACAGTGTATAAATTCAACTGTCACCCTTTGCCATATCACTTCAACCTGGCACCTTGTCACTGTATTACCTAACTCTCTCTTGGATAGAAATCATCATTCCTTTCTGGCATATTTTTCCTGTCCCTTAAAAACAAACAACAACAAAACAAAACAAAACTTATCAGACTTGGGTGTTTTCTTGCAGCAACAAGAAAAATGCAAGATGTTTTGCTTTGTATATCGAGCTGGTCTTGCTATGGTACCCACTCTTTTACTTTCAAATCTCTCACATTTTGTGGTGCAGTTCTTAATTTACAGGCAAGGAAGCCAAGGCTGCTTACCTGCACCTTGCAAACATTTGTTCCTTGCTGAGATAGCCTGTTTCATGTGCTTATAATTTGGACAGCACCAAGGAAGATGTCCTGCAGTGCTAACCACAAGGCTAGTTGGGTACAGTTTTCAGAGCTGCACATCCCGAATAATCCCTGATAATGTCTTTAGATTTCCAGGCACTCACTGTCTTACTCTTTTAGAAGGGACTACGTACCAACCTTGGCATGTCATGTAAGACTTGTATCAAGCCGAGGCAGTTTTGTTATGTTGTTTCCATTGAAGTGCAAGTTTCATTGCATTAACCATTCTAAAAATGTTTTTATTACCTTTATCTCTGGTGACATTTGCGAAACACTAGCCAACATCTTCATCAGGTTCCAAGTTATTTTCATCACCCCCAAAATGGACCTTGTATCCACTGAGCAGTCCCTTCTACTGCCAGCCTCATCCAAACGACCACTGATCTTCTCGGGTGGATTTGCCTGTCTTGACTGTTTTCTCGAAGTGAAACCGTGCAATATGCAGTCCTCTTTGTCTGGCTCCTTTCACTTGGCCAACGTTTCCAGGGTTCCTTCATGCTATAGATTGTGCCACTGCTGCATTCATTTTAACAGCTGAGTAATAGTCCTCAGCACAGAAAGACTGTGCATCCCTTAATCATTCTTTCATGGATGTGCAGTGAGAAGGGGTGGAGAGTGGGCTTGTGCCACTTACTGACCATGTGACCTTGGACAAGCTCCTCATGTAGCTGTGTCCCACTTTTCTCATTTGCTGAAGAAAAATGTAATACCTAACTCTTCATATCCACGAAATGATTGAATAGGAATTGTTGGAGAAGTTTATAGCCTCAGCAAACCATTTTACCGCAGGTTTCTATGGTGGGGAAAAGAGAGTATAAACTTGTATTATGGTATGTGTTTTATTTGTGCTGTTAGAGTCACCAAGGCCTCCCTGCTTTCCAGAAGAGGCATATCTGTTCCTTCTGTTTTGTGGTTAGGGTAGTTTTGGCCCCCACCCCATCGCTTCCCCAACATGGGATTTTTACGTTTCAGAAGCAGCTCACTAGACAGAATGTCTGTAGTGGAATGTTACATAATTCACATTTAGACTTGAAGAGCTCATTATAAAAAACCTGACACACTTCAGAAATATTAAATTACTGCAGATTGTGTGGAGCAAAGAAACATTATTGAAGCATTTCAAAATTCCAGACGAGCCTGAATTTAACTGATAGAGTTTCACAGCTTTTGCTGGAAAAAAATGATTTGAGTTGTCACATGGTTTCTGGCCTCGAAGGACTTTAATCTCCTTAATTACAAAGAAATGAATTTCCTAAATAATTTGGAGTTATTTCACAGAATTCGCTCAACCTCTGGCTTTTGGAAAATTAAAGGGGACGGTAGCCTTTCCTGTGTGTGTTCTCCACCACAGCTTCCCCATGAAAGTTTCCGTTCAGAATGGCTCTGCTGTTTCCTGCCATTATTGATACAGGAAGGTACTTCAGAGATTCACAAGTAATGCCCACAGCCTTCAAGCCTATCACACTGTGCCAGACGAGAGATTCTAGATGCCCAGGGGAAATGGAGAGGTACTAGATGCTGCTGGCTTTTGAAGTGGACGGAGTCCAAGTTTTATCCATTTTCATATTGTAGCTTTCCAGAATCTTTTAAATCGTATAAATCCATGTCCATAAGCTTCTTTCTGTATTTAGAGATTAGGCACCTACTGTATACAGGACCCACAGAATGGGAAGATCTGATATCCCATCACTTCCTTTGCTTTGTTCATCCTCAGAAAGCAGACTTAAGCTGTCCCCGATTCCCCTGGACACATGGTCTCACACCAGACACAAGGTCTTGATCAAAGCACTCAGGAAGCTATACCCTCTTATTTATGAAGTGCTTGCCAAGAAGGTATACTTGGCCATCTCTCAGTCCCATGACAGGTGTGCTCTCAGTTCTGCGGGAACTTTGTTGATCGAGCAACATCAGCCCCATCATCCAAGTAAAGAAACGGAGGCGGGAAAAGCTCAGTGTCTTCCTCGGCGCCACACAGCTGGCTTGGCAGCGGCTGAAGCTCTGGACTTAGCCAAAATATGGCATAGATGAAAGAGACTGTGCTTTAATAGAGAGCTCAGGACATTTCCCGACTGGGCTGTCTTTTTGAAGTGTGCCTCAAGGGGTTGGATGAATATCAAAGCAGACCCAACCAAAGAGACCTGATAGGCAAGCAGAAGCAACCAGGGAGCGGTGGGAAGATGACCCCCTCAGTGAGCTGCCAGACTTAAGGTTCCTTTCATTCATTAGATTATTGGTTTCCAGTCTCTTTGCCATTGTATATGACAAGTGTCCGCCCATTATTTTTTTTTTTTTTAAAAAAAAGTATTCATTCACTTATGTGTTTGTTACAAATGTGTTTATGGGGTCCTGTCTACAGTGTGTTTGACCAAACTATTGCTGTTCAGGACCCTGCAGAATAAGGCTAGTCCGGCGTGCAGTTTTAATAAAAGTAAAGCCAAGCTGACCCTTGCTCCTTTGTGCCAAAGCATGTCTTACATTTATGTCTTCTTTGCTTCTGCTCCTGCACATGACTCACTGTCCTCCACAGGACTGCTGCTTCTGCTAGATTTCGCTTCTCTGTTGACTCGCAGCAGGCATTGATTATTTCTCCCTGGCCACCAGAGTTGCATGGTGTTTGTCTATACGTCGTCTATACTGGAGTCTAGTAAGTATGTATTGTAGTAAAATAATAGCTATTAAGAGTATGTCAGTGAGGGACCCTGTTGACTCCTATGGGATGTATCTTTCGAAAGAAGGTGTTGTTATACAGATGATGCCACAAAACTGGCGAAGATGTTTCCATTTTTTTAAAGGTGGGGTTTCAGAAAGTCCAAAGCTACAAAGGCAGTTAACTCTTTTCCTTACCCATCACCTTAGACCATCTAATTCAAGTGCTTACCCACAGAGATAGTATCCTTTGAAAAAAAAATTAGTTATTTAAAAAACCTAACCAGGTATCATTGGGTAAGGTGGACATTGCCTCACAGGTTAAGTTGTAATGTAATTTTATATGGCTTTCATATTAGGCCTTATAGTTACAATTAAAGCCATCTTTAATTGTCTTGATTAAGAGGTTTAGGTCATTAGTCTTTTTGAGCTACAACTGGCATTCAAGGTCCATGCTCTTAGATTAAACACTTTCAATCCTGTGGAATGAGCTAAAAATTGGTTGCATTATTTCAAGCGCCATTTTTTTCTTAATTTCGAAAGTGGATAACTAGTGAGATGTTTATTCTCGGTGAAGTCTCAACTACCACTGTCTGATGGGGCTGGGGGAAAACTATTAGCAAAGGCAGTCCGTTCATTCAATTTACGTGACATCCGAGGTGACGGAAAAATGTGCAGCACTGACGTCAGGGTCTCAAGTGTGTCTAGTGAGTGCATAGTAGATGCTGGTGTCAATTGAAGTGCCTGTGTTCTAATCATCGCCACTCTCCTTCTATGGCATCTATTCTTCTTAGTGCTCAGTATCGTGGAATACATGCTCAGGAGAGGCAGAATGCACAAAATGTGTGCCTCCCACCCTGGTCTCTTTTCCTTTCTTTCCCCCACATTAAATGCTTGTCTGCTCTTATAGCTAGGGGAACAGCTAACATAAAAATTGGCTTGCTGCAAAGTTTCTCAGCCCCATTTGTCACCTTACCCTTGGAGCCCAATTGCATGTCAACTCTATGTCCCCTCTGATGCCTGCCAGTGAGGGACAGACGGGAGGTCACTCCCTTATGATCTGCCTCAGCTGCCCAGACTCTGATCAAGCTCGACTGATGGATGAGTGGCCCGTTGTTGGAAATGCCTCCACGGAGCTGGTCAGGAAATATGTCTGTGATATTTTCTGAGTGGCATCTAGTGCTTGGCCATTAGGAACATGGCCAACAAAGAGCTGAGGTTTGCTGCTTTTGAAAATCTGAGTCTCTAAGCTATATTGCAAAGAACTTGCTCATTCTTATTGTTGCATAAACCCCATCTATGGTCTCATGAATTCAGACAGACAAATTTGTCCACAGAAACTAAGATGTTCTTGCTGTTGTGTGTTTTCTTGTTCTTTTCCTCAAATTTCTACTCAGTCCCGGAAGGACCATGATTCTAAATATCTTGTTTTGATTTACAGCACTCCAACAGAGTGAATGACATGCACGGCGTGGGGTGTCCTTTCTGAAGGGAGGAACCTTTCTTTTGGAGAGGATCCTCGATGAGCCTGGCCAAGGCCTGGGGTCTGTGTGAAGAGGACTAAGGATTAAGTAGGATGTCAACTGAGACAGAACTTCAAGTAGCTGTGAAAACCAGCGCCAAGAAAGACTCCAGGAAGAAAGGTAGGGGTGACTTTGTGCTCTTCTCAAGGCTACTTTTCTCTGTAGTAATAAAGTTAACTCTAGAAGAATACAAAAACATAACTGCAATGCATACTATTTTTATGGTGATTTTGTACTCATATTTTGGTGGCTGTTATTCTCTGGGTACAATCCCAAGTCATTTTTGTAATATACAAGGCCCTTCTGAGTATGTCTTCTGGACAGTTTTCCATCAAGGTCAATCCCTGTTGTCTCCAGTCCCCAACTCTGTTCGCACTCCAGGCTTTCTGCCGTTTGCATGTTTCTTTTGCATGTTGCTGTGGTTCTTGAACTCTGACCACAGCGTGCTTCTGAGGGCTGATTAGAGCCAACTGTGAGACCTATCTCTCGTAGGTACCCAGTATCTGCAGACTGCTCTGATAATGGGTTTCCAGGCAGTGCTGGTCTGGAGGCCATACTAAGAGCCCTAGGGTCATCAACAGAAAGCCTGTTCTTGATCACTGCCTTTCCTGCATGGATCAGTGCCCATTGTCCAGGCTGAGCGTCGTGCCACCTCCTGAGAGAGGCTTTGCTCAGTCCCCACTGGAGTTAGTGGCTTGTTTTGCTTTGATAGTGTCTCACTTTATTTAAAATCCTTTGAGTTTTTATGAGTCACCTTGAGTAGCAACTCCTAGAATTAGACTCCATGTTCACCCCAGGACTCTCAGCCCATGAAAAGGACTTAAGAGGAGGTACACAGGTAACTGGTGATAAAGATGGGCATGCCAGAGTAATTTACAAAGATAATCCTATTGCAATGCATGTTTTTTGTTTTGATTTGTTTTTTGTTTTTTGTTTGTTTGTTTGTTTGTTTGTTTTTTGGTGCTGGTGGTAGGGGATAATTGGTTCCATGGCTTTGTGGGTATGTCTTTTATTAAGTGGGTGCCCTTTGGTGGTTAGAAGTATGTGCATGCTGTGTATGGAGGATGTGTGGTGGCCTGTGTGGTCTACATGTGTGTTCCTGTGTGTATGTGTGTGTATAAATGTGTGGTGTGTGAGTTGTGTGTGTTGCGCATATGTGTGTGTATATTTGTGTTGTGAATGGGTGTGTATATGTGTTATCCCTGTGGTCTCTGTTCCTCTTCCTTGTCTTTAGCTGCACGGAAGGGGATTAGAAGTATTCTTTCAGAACTTGAAATCTATGTGCGTTTGCAAATCAGGGTGCCCTTGGCTTCCCTGAGCAGGCAGTGATTTGTTGGAGACATCACTGTGCCTGCCTGCTCACGTTTTGTGGTGGCTTCCGTCTGGCACCTGAGAAGCATGAGGCATAAATGAAATCACATTCAGCTCCTGGGCTGTCGGAACTCCAGCACAAGCTATAAATTCTGTGTTTAATGTTTATTTGAAACACAAATATTTTGGAGATAGTCTATTTTATTACCCCAAACTTCATGTAAACCTTCTTTTTTTATGCTTTGCAGTCTGAGAATAGTAGACAAAAAGCAAGTGGGCAAGGGAACAGGTCTTGAGAGACTGCTGTGTGGGGGAGATGGTTGTGAAGTCTGGTGGATTCTAGAATTCAGATGCTTTTGCATTAGAAACTGACAAGTTATATTTTTGCTTCACAATTAACCTTTCCACTAAACTGGTGCTCTTGAATGTTTAAAATTTTATCTTAGAGAATTTTGTTTCCTCTCTTAATGTTAGTTTGCAAAATTTAAGATCATTCCGAAGAGGATTTTTAGGTTTTTCAGAACACTAGTTTAAGGATTTGGACCTGGATAGGAATTTGAAGGTAACCCTTTTACATCCTCCTTATCTTCATTTCCTAAGAACTAACATCATTAACATGAAATATATTGAAGTCTGGCAGGCAGGCCCAAGTTCACCTTCTGACTATTTTATGCTACTTCCTTCCTATCTGACCTTACACCAATTAGTCTTCTTGCTGAGCCTCATTTTCTTCTCCTATAAAGCAAGGTATGATAGTATATACTCAGTGGCTGACTGTGTAGGTTAATTTAGGTAAGGCAAATGAAATCCATATCGTAGAACTTGGCATATATTAATTGTTCAACAGAAGTTGGGAGTTTATTCTTTATTATTTTCTTTCTTTGCTTTTCTTCCTCATCTCACTTTCTTTTTTTCTCTGTTATTTTTCTGTCACTCAATTTTATTTTCTATTTCCTCATCATATATCTTGTCATAATCAGCTTGAGCCACCCTTATAAATACCATAGATCAAAGGCTTAAAGCGCAAATGTATTTCTTACTGATGGGTATGCTAGACACCTGAGAATAAGATCCAGCAATCCCTATTCTCATGAAGGCTCTCTTCCTGGCTTATAGATATTCACCTTCTCACTGGATCATAGGGAGTACAGAGCAACATTCTCTCCCTTGTCCTTTCTTACATCCCTTTCTCTTCCCTGCCTCTCTTCTGCTTTCTCTCCTGCTCTCTCTTTCCAATCCTTACCCTACCTTCTCTCCTTCCCGGGCCTCCACCTCCTTCTACTATTATTTCTATCTTGAAGGTCCACCATCATTTTATTTTTTATCTAGCACCTTTGTCTGTCTGTCTTCCATTCACCCATTCATCCAAAACCCTGTCCCACTGGGATCTAAAGCTTTATTTATATGGATATTGATGGAGCATGACTGTTCAGGTTAGAAGATACTGTTTCATTCTCTTCCTTCCTCTTTTTCTTTTCCTTCATCATCATTATCATAACCATAGGTTTTCCTTCTTATCATATTTTACAGCAAGGGAGCTTTAAACACCTATATTACAGCCTTGTCCCCGATAACGGTTTTATAATTGTTTTTACTTGTGCAATTGTGACAAGCAATCTTTATTCTATATTGGTGTAGACAAAAGTACCATAAAGGTATATGAATATATTAAAAATATAAAATGGATGTGCAGCAACAATATTTATTCATTACTTTTAGGTATTTGATAATAAAATGATAAATATTCTGTTAAATAAATGCTGCTACTGTGCTCAAAATAAATAACTTTGTGGAATAGTTTATACATTATTGATCTTGAATCTTGAGCATAATAATGTTATATTCTTTAGCAGCTTTTTGCATTTTTATAGAGTCAACATATACTATGAAAATAAAGCCCTTACATACTTTATTTTTCCTGTCATATTACTTTGGCCAAGTCTGTTAGTATTTAATAACCACCCTTACTTTGTTCTGGATCAATGAAAACTATTTTAAATTATATTTAAGTAAAATATTTAACTTTTACTAAAGGTTCATTATTGTTGCTTTTTGTGTAGTTTTAAAAGGAAGTTGGATCTTAGTATGTTTCTCTACTTGCTTCAGTGATTGTGTATATTTTTCTTTCATTGTTGTGAAAATCACCAGTAGATTTTCTACACCTAAATCCCGGGTCAACTTTACTTGGTCATAGTGTATTATTTTCCCTACTCTATTGGGTATGATTTGTTCAGTAAAGAAAATTTTTCTTAACACATTCATCAGTAAAATTGGCATAAAACTTTTTTTATTGACTGTTTTGGAGCTTGTATTACTCAGTATGTCCTCATATTGATGCTGACATATAGTGTGTAGTCCATTTGCTATAGCTAAAGGATTTAATTGGGTAACACGTGGCTGAGATTACACAATCTGTATAATTTCGTATCTTCATTTATTCTCTGTCATTACTTTCCAATATTATAACATGATTTTTATAAAAGAAAAAAAATCACCCTACCCCGAGGCAAGGTTTAGAAGGATCCTAGAAAAAATATTTTATTTCCTGGAAATTAATATCTTGCATTGTGAAAGCTAAGAGGCCTTGTTGAATTTATCAGAAGCCTCTTGGCCTCTGAGAACCTAGACTATAAAAGCAAGCCTGGTAATTTCAAACATGAACAACACAGGGCATATTTCTTCAACAAATGAGGTTCTAGACAAGCTACATTTGAGGGAGAACAAGAATATTCAGTATTCAAATGAGATGTAGAGATGGAGAAAAATAAAGTTGTTTTGGTCATTTCATAGTTATTATATGTGCCTGTGCCAGGAATAGAATTTTATGGAGGACCACAGAAAGAAAATTTGTATTTTTTTTTTTTTTTTTTTTTTTTTTTACCTGCCATCAAAAGGGAGTAAATTGACTCGGTTCTTGCTACTTGCATTCCGAGTACTGGGGTGCCCAGTGGAAGGCTATGATGGAAGAATGGGCCTTGTGACTAGCAGAGACAGGAGTTTGTGTGGTCAGTATCTGGTCAGCACCACCACTATCTTGGTACCTGAATGTGTAAAAAGAATCACCAGCTTGGGAACTGGAAAGAACTTGATTTTTATTCCAACGTTTCTTCATAGCTTCTGGGTTCTAAATGAGAGGAAGAATGGAGCTTCTTCAAGCCTGGTTTGACTTGTATACGTGCACTGTTAGATGGGGAGGGGGGTAGACATTTGGGAGTTGCTGTGGGAGTAGGGTCTAGCAATGGTAATTTTCCTCTCTTGGTCTTCCTGAGGTTTCAGTCCATCATTGTCCCCTTTTACACGGCAATCTGTAAGCTTACATACTGTTCCTGTATTTGTGTCAAAGGTATATCCATGGGCTGGCAGTTGACAACAGCAATAATGAAGACACAACTTATTTCCGGTAGAATTTTCGATTCAAGGCCCCACTGGTATCCAAGTGGTCATATGACAGAGGCTGCCCCATCAGCTGTATCAAAATAGATTAGAATCCTGGCCAGTTTATGTTTAGGGGTGATTTTGTTTAGGTCCTAGTCAGGGTCCTTTCTAGGAAATAACCTGTTCGTGTTGGCTGACCACTTAGTAATTTTTATAACGGCATCATATTCCTTAGCCTTTTAGAACCACAGGACACAGAAGGGTAATATTTTCAAGATGCTTTGAAGGTTCCCATCTATTGTTACTTCTGTCTACTGCTCCTCATCTAGAGAAGTGAGAGATCTACCCTGTAGTTCACTGAGAAAGGGTATTATGCTCACCCTCAGGCCACTACTTCCTGATATAGAAGCCTTTACCATCCTCCTCTATCTAAA